CCTAAATAGAGTAGCAACGAAAGTGATTGGCTTGGAAGGGGACGGGGCGGAGTTGAAACAGAGAGAGAGGAGGGCTGGGACACTAACCCGGCCCAGCTGAATGGGGCGGGGCGGCAAATGAAACACACCGATTGGGTCTTTCTGAACACAGGGGCGGGCCGAGGTGCTAAGAAGGCGGGACGCACCGCTAATGTGGGCGGGCTTGGCAGAGCAGAGAACAAAGGGGGCGGAGCTAGATATAATTAAAAAAAAAACACAAAAAGGATGGAGCGGAGCAAAGAAAAGGGACAAGTCCAAACTATTTAAAGAGGCAGGACTGGCCGTGACAGACGGAGCTAGGGGGCGGAGCCACAATCGGAGAGACCATTCTGATTGGACAGAGCAGGGGGCCCGAACCTAAAGAGTGGATAAGCAGAATCTGGTGGGGAAAGACAGATGGAGATTGTGGGCTTGGGCTCCTAACATTGCTTGGACTGGAAAGGGCGGATCTTAAAAAGAGGCGGGGTCGGGGGAAAAAAATGTAGTAGAAACTTCTTGATTGGTCTGGAGAGTGAGGGTAGGACGGGACTAAACGAAGGCGGGAGCTGGAAATGGAGAGTGGAGAGTACAGTCTCGAGAAATGGCACTAGGCTGCCGGACTGAAAGGGGACAGGGCAGGGGTTACAGGAACTGAAACCCAGTGAGAAGAGGAGAAGATGAGCGAGCAGCCCTGCAAACCCGAGAGCGTCTGGCTAGGAATACCCGTCGGGGCCGGGGCTGCAAACTTGGCCTAATTAGATGGGGCTGGACCGGGATAATTAGTGTCAGGACTGAGGAAGGTGGACGGGGTCTAAGAATGGCAGGAAACCTCTTGAATGAGCTGAGGGAAGACGAGACTAAGGGAGGAGCGAGACTTAAGGGGCTTGAAAGCAACTAGGCTAGTCTGGGGCGAGGCAAGGGTAAGAGAGGGTAAAGAATGGGAGATGGGGGGAAGAACGGGGAGATGGGGATGCTAAGGAACCTGTAAAGAGTACAAAGTTTCCCTAGCCAGTTCGGCTCAGTGGAAAGAGGGTCGGTCTGCAGACTGAAGGATCCCAGGTTCGATTCTGGTCAAGGGCACATGCCTGGGTTGCAGGCTCAATCCCCAGTGTGGGGTGTGTAAGAGGCAGCTGATCAATGATTTTCTCTCATTATTGATGTTTCTCTCTCTCCTTCTCCCTTCCTCCTTGAAATCAATAAAAATATATTTTTTTAAAAAAGAGTACAAAGCTACCAGGCTGCAAGGGAGTGGGAGGACCTGGTACGGGGAGAGAGTCCTAAGGGTCCACAGGGACTTAGAGGGCGGGGCGAAAACTTCCAACTGGTGAGGGAAAGAAGACAAGGTCTAGAGATACCGGCCGACTGCAGAGAAGAGGCCTAAAGGCTGGATAAGGACTGGCGAAGAAGGAGCCCCGAGGAAGGAAGACGGGGGAAACCCAAGCGCCAGGAAGCCCAGTGGCGGGAGCAATGGGCGGGGCCGATAGGAAATAGGGCGGGGTGAGGTGTGAGTCCTGGTGGGAGGAGAGAGATGGGGAGTAGGCGTGGCTAGTGGAGGGCGGGGCCAGAAC